AAACAAAGAATTACTATATGGAGATTGAAATTATTAAAATAGGACAACTATGAAAATATAGGACCTTCATGAAAACTGCTATTAAGAGTTTTTTTAAAGAACACAATAGTTAAAGATAGAAAAGGGAAGCCCCCAACATTTAAGAAATATCAAAATTAAGGTCATCTATGAAAACAAAAATTTTTCTTCTTATATCTTTATACGTTATGATATACAGTCTGTAATGACTCCAAATGACTGTTTTCCATGGGATCCATACCTTGATCTGTGTAAAGGAAGGACCTGTGCTGCTGTGAAACATGCGGTTTAATAAATAGAATTTTGTCCTACTGACTGCAAAAATTTCAGACGTATAGAAAATTAGAGTAAACCAAAGTATTGGAAAGCTCCTTACTAAGTGAGAAATGTTCTGTCTGTACATGGAAAGAAACACAGAGAGGTGGAACAACATGCTTGGTAATATAAGCAATGATCGTACAGATGCTACACTCAAGCTAGAGATGAACTTAGAGTACACAACCCTAATTCTGTCATTTTCTAACATTTCAGTGCTTTTCCTAACCAACTGCAACTAAATTTCCTATTCTGTATGTTATCAGTTTATGAAATGCCTATTGTGCTCAAAACACTCCCGTGATAGCATGGAGCCAGCTATATTAATTACAGAGCCCCATCCTTTGATAGCATGAAGAATAATAAAGAGATTTGGTTTTGTGGTTTGTTTGGCAATACTGAAAGTGGACTGTTTCCCTTATGGGTTTTAATTCTGAACAAGAGCACTCTCTCAGTCAGGATGTTTGCTCTTAATCTTATTCTTTTCTGATAATTAGACCCCTCTGTGAGTGAATAATGCTCAGACCACAGCTCAGTCCACAGCTATAGATAAAAGGCTCAAAAGATGTCAGACATCTGGCAAATGTAATTCTTTCAGAGGAGGATGTGGTGGCAGAGATGTGGCATATTCCTTTGAGTCTGACATGGTGATATACCATATATATAGGAGGCTAGTCTTCATTTTACTACCTCTTATATTCTGCTTGATTTTTCTACAGTGCCCAGCTCTGGTTTTCTGGGGTCTTTTTTATGGGCTTTGAACATCAGAGAGCGATGTTAGAAAAACAGCAAGTATCATTTCTGGGAGAGTTCCCACATGCTGGAGTTTTGGCCACTTCAAAATTCTACATGTTAGAAATACCAGCAGCGAGTTACTTTTCCCAAATATTGTGTGTTATTTTTACATTGAAACTAACTAGACTACCTAGGCAAAACCAGGCATAGCCATTTTCCAGGGAAGAGAAAAATTAGTCAGTCATAACAAGAAATAAAAATATGTCTCATTGCCCACCACTTATATATCTGTTCTTCCAGTATAGCTGCCTCAGCAAGAACTCAATGGGATGCCACAGATGATTTATAAGAAATATAGGAGGGAAAAAAAAAAAAAGGAATTAAAGGCTTAAGGTTAGCACACGCATTACTGCAGACAAATAGAAAATTACTTCCAAGCTATAATCCAAGCCATACTTTTTCAGACAAAAATGTCATTTCCAAATGCCCTATAAGTAATTTCATATACAGCAGTTGGCAAAGCAGAGGTGAAACTAAGTGCACATGAAAGAAAATGTGTCAGTGTTTTCAGTATGCTCCTTTAGCACCACAGAGTCACTTGCCAGTCACTTACCAGTGCTTTCGTACTGTTTCTGAAGGGTGCACCTAAAACAGTGCTCCACAGACCTATTCTCCTTGTTAGGTTTGGGGTTTTGGCTTCAGAGGGTTTGTTTGTTGTTGGTTTTTGGTTTTTTTCTGCTTTGAGCCTTCCAGTATTGCAGCTTAGTCCAAGCAGTGTTTTTCCAGATGTACTCCTGAAGCTTCCTGTTGCTTTTGTGATCTTATTGGCCATCTCCCTGTAAGCTCAGTGTTTTTAAAGTGGATTTCTAGTTTTATGTAAAAATATGTTTCTATATCCTCTTTAGGGCATGCTATTTAGACATGTTTATACTAGAATAATGTCTTGATGCTTCTTTTCAGCACTACTTTCTCATTTTCAGAGGTTATTGCTAAGACGTGTTTCCGTGACTGCAGACATCCTCAGTATTTTCAGAGTTGTTTTATGTGAGTCCTATTATTTTTTAGGGAAGTACTTTCAGACAGATAGAGCTGGCTTGGGCTGTTCTATTTTGCAGAAAGTCTCTTTCCTTGCTGCAATTCCTGATGTATCTGAAAAACTGCATCTAACACGGCTCAAAGAGATTCCCCCTGAGCAATCCTGACTCCCACCTTGTACCTAGGAGAGGGGTAAACTTTGGATCCTGGCTGTGTCCAGTGATGGTCTGATGGAAAATGTAGGCTCATCTCAAGAAGTACACTTTCTTGGAAACCTTTCTGTAAGCTGAAGCTTAGTTTCTTGTAATATGCAGCTGATATCTTCCCGAGTGTAATGCCTGATGCTGAAAGCAAAAATAGATTTGGATGCAAAATTTGGCTCTTCTTACGTGCATGACAGCTCTTCACTTGAAGCATCTGCAGCACACAGCTACACCTGCATGTATATCCCTCAAGTGAATTCGAGTGTAATTCAATAACTTGATAAATCATTCTGGCAGCTGTTGTCCTCTGTTAAATCACTCTTTTGCAAAACTGATCACATTTTAATAGGTCTCTTCATTTTGGCAAAGGTTTTCACAGCCTGAGTCTCTTTCACTAAGTACAAGGCCAAGTTTATGGCATCACAGTAAACTTAACACCTAATCTCTATGTCCCTGTTCCTAAATGTGTATATGTAGACGTATATTAATTTGGAGAAAGATATATTAATCCTTGCCTTAAGTAAGAATATTATCCAGGTGATTTAAGCAATGGTCTTGGTGAGGGGAAAGCTGCAAGGGCAACAAGAGAGGACACGCTTCTGGCAGTTCATCAGAAAGCTCGTAAGATTGCTTGAGTCTCCTTTCTCAGCTCGATTCAGCACTTCTGGAAAGTGCCTCCAGGGCCTCTTTGCTAGTATCTGTTTTCTCTGGTGTACACACAGAGCAATTTTTGACAGTTTTGAAGGAGAAGAAAGGTTAAGTAGATGGCATAGTCTTTATGGTGCTAGTATTGTAGTGGTTTGCAAGTATATTCTTAAAATTGAGTATATGCTTAAGACTGTGAGTATGTTGGAGTATTTCGATGGAAAGCCCTAGCTCAGTGCAACTAATGGGAACAAAATCCCCTCTGAACAAATGTGCGTGGATGTGAAAGTGATGACTTTTAAAATATTTGGCATTTGTGACTTTCTAGTAGAATGTACGATACAGTGCTGAGTAGGGAAAAGTAATTTCCATAGCTCCTTTAATCTGGCACTGTTGGGGAAGTCTGAGCTCTTCTTAGTGCTGCTGCCAACGTGGTGTGGCTGAAAAGTGAACTCCAGTCTGTCACTAACACCCTCAGTTTCCAGTAATATCTTCTATAAGCAGTAATCCAAAGGATCCTCTCTCACTCCTCTAAAATGGCACTTTTAGGTTCCTCCTGTTTTCACAGGTGTGTGATTGTCTGCATTTATGTGTTTGCAAAGGATAGAATTCTCTGTCAGTGAAAGCAGATGTTTCCTTTATCTCTTGTGAGATTAGTTACTCAGGCTCTGCATAAAGAAATTGGGACTATCTTTTTTTTTTTAGAGAGTGCACTTCTCCATTAATCACTTAAATTAGTACAAAAGAGGCTTAATCAAAGAACTTTAAAAATACTGAGAATATTTTAGAGTATTACTTGGAGTAAATAATAGTTTGCAAGCTTCTCTATCTTTGTAGCTTATCAGACAGGAGAGGTTTTGCCTCCATGTATGAGGCTGCTGCTGCAAAGTAGTGCTTCTTGAGTAACTCCCTCCTTTAAGGCCAGTAACTTAGAGGATTCACCTTCACTGACCGTGCTGCTGTACAGACTCTTCCAGTTTGGCACCAGACACGTAAGCCAATTTTTACAAAAGAACTTATTCAGGGGTTTCCACCAGGTCTGATTATCAAAACATCTGGCAGCACTAGCCAGGTGTTGCAGGGAGTGTGAGGAAGGGCTAGAGCAGTCGCTGCATCCTTTCTTCCCAGCAGACAGCAGAGCACATCAGGTTTGCAGGAGAAAATCTACCCCAACAGAGAGTACAGCTTCAGAAGAATAACTTTCCGGGGCTTCTGTTACAACAGCACCTGCTATCACGTACCTGAAAACAGAGTTGTGGGCCTTTGATCCCCCAGCATTTATGACTTTTACAAAGTCTCTGACATTACTCATTTTTTGAGGCTGCTGTTGGCAAAGTGCTGCCGAGCTGTTGAGTCGTTGTCTTCGCTGTCTGGTAGAGTTCAGGTACTTTGATTATTAGTTGAAGTTTTGCAGCAAGAAAGCAGATCACTGTGCCAAAGAAAGTTCACGCTCAGTGTTTTATGACCCTGTGCATTCTGTAGCTCTGTTGCCCATGGCTTAAAAGGCACAGAGCTGTGGAAAACTGCAATGTAACCAAAGTTGTAAAATTCAGAGTTACTAACTGAGGGTAGGAATGGAAGTTTGGTGGTGGAGTGGGAAACAGATACACTGAGTTATTTAAATAAATTATGGCAACTGGTATAAAGAAATAAGTTCCATTTTCTGTTTCTATGATGGCTCTGCACTTGACAAATTGTTTTCTCTAGTTCCCAAGGTGAAAGAAGCAGCTGCCTTCGGCCCTCGCCTGGCACAGAGGAAAGTTGCAGCTCCAAGACCAGAGCAAGAAGGTAGATTATTTTTGTTCTACAGTATTTATTTTCCTGTGTATTGTTTGTTTTTATGACAACCTATACTAGCCGACACAAAACCAATTTAAAAGCCTGTAACATAAACCAAAAGTTTGCTGAGCGCATCAGAGACAGTATGTGACCAAACTGTTCTGCCAGTTCCAGTGTGAGATGCTGGTTTTATGTTCTTTTCAAAACATACTTTATAAGCCGTACATAGAAAGCTCCCTCACACTGAAACCTGACCTGCAATTTAATTTCATTTATTTATTTTATAGTCATGAAGAAATAAAGTAATTTCTATCCTCTATAAAACAAAGCCATGGGAGAAGTGTTGTATAGCACGCAATGATATGCCAGTGTCCTTCAGCCTTATTCTCCTGGTTTTAATCTTGGTCCTCTGTGAACAGTTAGTAGGAGTTTCCCCTGAACAAGACAAAATAAATATTTACTCAGAATCTTAAATAACCTGGCTATGAATATATGATAGTTCCCAATTCATCAGTAAATCCTATGGATATCAGAGTAAGATGATACTACCTCTTCTTTCTCACATTAAAAAATTGTTGCAAAATCAGTGAGGGAAGGATACAAGGTTCGAGACCTGTCAATTTATGTACACAACTTAAAGTTCTGCCATGCCCTAGTAAACTGCTTCCTGCACTTTCAAATGGAAAACTTCACTGGCTGTTGAGACCAGACTGCAGCATAGCTCTGGTCAAAGCAGAGCATAAAGGCAGATCAAAGGGCACTCCCCCTCTCTCCTGGTGCGAGACAGTTTCCCTGTGATGGAGAGAATCATGAAGCTGACTGTAAGGACCTGCTTATGAGATCCAGGGAAAAAAGCAGAATCTAAAAGGGGAGACTGAGAGATTGTATTGAGATGATGCATCTGCAGGGCAGCAGCATCCTCCTGGGGAGTTACCAGCCAAGTGGGCAGGGGCTGAAATGATGGGATTGGCTGTAGCTGAGATTGTTTCTAGGACAAGGTGGGTTTCACCACAAAACAACCCAAAGATGCTTCCAAATCTTAAAGAAAACAAAACAAAACAGACAGATGTGCTGGCTGACATTAAGATACTGGGGGGTTTCCAATTCAGAAAACAGTAGTCTCAGAAATAATGGATTTATACAGTAAAGCTCTCTAAATGCCATGTACTGCACTTCTCTGTCTCATGACAAAATACATGAAAAGAACAAGAAAGATGCTTCTTTATGAGGAAATCAGATGGCTGACATATGGCTTAATCTGATCTGTCATACTTGCATCACACAGCGTTTCTTTGTGTATGTATTGCTTTTCATCTGCACAGTCACGAAGGCTGTGGTGTGCCTCTGGGTGACATCCTTTTTCAGTGTGCTCTAAAGGTCAGCTTATCTGGGCTGTTCCCAGCTCTGTGTAGTATGAGTATCAAGTGCTGCTGTAAAAGATTCCTCTCATGGGAGGGCAGCTTCTCTCTTTCAATGGATAGAACTGGAGCTTGAGCATCTCAGCCGATTACAACTACAGCAGCGTAACAAGTGGAGAGAGGGAAGCTCTAAAGTCGGCAGATCTCAAACCACTTATGATGCCAGAGTTCAAAACTAACACATCCAACCATACCTGGCGATCAGCAGGCACTCAGTACACAGAAGTCGCAGCACAAAAACTCATGTGCAGATGAGACATTGGCCGTAAAAAGAGACAACAGGCTTTCCTGTGAGTTGAAGAAAGAACTACTACATAAATTCCAATGTTTTGGTTTTTTGAAATTTAATCTAGGTCACTATCTGAACTCAGATTGTAGATAATTTTAGAATGACATATACATTAATAACTAGGTGAATAAAAACCAAACTTTTTTTATCAGCACTTATGATACAATGCTCCTCTCACCTCTGAGTCTCCATTGCCAATTTTTTTTTCAGTTGATTGCAGCTTCAGTCGAGGAGTCTGTGACTGGAAACAAGATGCTGATGATGACTTTGACTGGAATCCTGCTGATCGAGATATAGGTATTTAGATATCTGTCCTCTAGCTATGCTTTTATCTAATGGCTCACACCCTAAAAAAAAAGTGGATGGAGGGGAAAACAGAATCAAGAAACAGCTTTCCTATCAGTGGGTTATCTTTATAAAAAAAAAGGATTCTATGATTGTTTCTCTGAAATACTGTTAGGGCTGGGCCAGCCACTAAACACCACCAGATACTCTCTAAACCTTCTCTCTCCCCAAAGGGAAAGGAAAAGGGAATGAGGCAGAGAGACTCATAGATTCTAAAAGAAATCAAAACCAGCTTTGATAAAATAGTAATAGTGCTGATAAGGGAATAATGAAAATAAAATGTATACAAACGTATACAAATATATACAAAAGCGATATCAAACCTGACTCTCCGCAACAACAGTCACCACTGATGCTGCAGAGCAGGTGGCACTGGGGAAGCCACAGCTGCCATCCCACTGCTGCCACCATCCTGGACACAGGAGCTGGATTCAGGAACTCAGGGCTGGGATCAAAGGCAGAGGACAGAGTCCTCCTTGGGTGCCGGCCATTGAAGAAGAGGCTTAACCCCTGTGGTCTCCCAGCTTTATACTGAATATGACATGAATAGGATGGGATGGAATGGAATGGAATGGAATGGAATGGAATGGAATGGAATGGAATGGAATGGAATGGAATGGAATACTCTTGTTGGTCACCTGTCCTGTCTATTACTCCCCGGAGGTGCAACCTTTCACTTCCTTGTGACCCCTCTTACTACCCGGCACCCCCAGCGTGGCACACAAGAGCCAGCAGTGACCTCGGTCACTGCAGGAATAAGTATCAGCAAGAGCCTTTCTGCATCCCAGTGCCAGGCAGTGACTGTAAACATCAGGTGTTACCAGTTCTAGTAGCAGGCACTGTTTGCAAAAACATGGTCGTAACTTCAGAAAGTGCAGCCTCTTAGAAGAGACAGCTGAAAAGTAAAATCACTGAACAGAATTGGTTCTATTTAACTCAAACCAGGACAAATACCCAGTGGCAACTGGTAATCAGTAACGTGTTTCAACACAAATGAATCAGAAAATAAGAAAAGTTGTTGGAATATAACTATTGAAAATCACAAAGTATAAGGCGATGGAAGCCTTATTAGTTCCGCATTGTGTCTTTCCAAGACTGGTAGGGTGTTTAACCACACATCCACTATTTAGATGGATGTGGCAGTGTAGTCACTCACGTGGCCTAGACAGCGCTATGAAAACTGCTCGGAAATCTCCAAGTCTGCAAGAAAAAATAGCTACAGCATTCCTCCGAATGAGCCGAGGGCAGAGGGCTACTCAAGAAGAACTGATACCTGACCTGGTACCAACGGCAGGCCTGCTGACACCTGAGAAAGTTCCATGAGTGTAATGTGTGACTGCTGTGCAGGTGTATGTAGAAAGGTGTGGCTGAAGAAACTCGTTTGAAACAATGTCTCTGTAACACAGGAAATGTTGCAGAAGTTGCTGCAGTAGGGACAAGGATCCTGCATATCCTGCAGGCCACTTGCTCCAGTTCTTACACATTCATTCTCTCCCTCTTCTCTCACAGGCTATCCATCCCAGTCTTTCTTCACTAATCCTTCCTCTCCTGCTCCATGTATTTCTTTATCCCATCATTCCCTAAGTCCCCTCTCTGTCACTTCCAGGAATATCTTACCTTGACCTTATCCTGTCTCCCTGAACTTACATCTGCTGATTATGACTTTATGTATGGGCCTAGATGGTTTATCCCTTCATCACTTCGTGTATCTCTGCCATTTTATTGGTTCTTCAGGATTTAGGGAATAAGTTACCAGTTCCTTTATGAGTTTGTCATCACTGCAGAGAATAGTGGAGACAGTATTGAACTAGCTCATGTACTGGAAATGGTCTGACCACAGAGGCACAGCAGCGTGTTCAGACTGGAGATGAGCCAACAGTGCACCTTCACAGTGAGGAAGGCCAGTCGCATCCTGGGCTCCATCAAAAGAAGCGTGGCCAGCAGGTTGAGAGAGGTGATTCTGCCCCTTTGCTCTGCTCTGATGAGACCCCCACCTGGAGTGCTGTGTCTGGCTCTGGAGCCCCCAGCACAAGAAGGATGTGGACCTGTTGGAGTGGGTCCAGAGTAGGGCCACAAAAATGATCAGAAGGCTGGAGCTCCTATCCTACAAGGACAGGCTGAGAGAATTAGGGTTGTTCAGACCAGAAAAGAGATTGATGGGCCTAGGGGCACTAGATTTAGATTAGATGCTAGGAAGTTCTTTACAATGAGGATGGTGAAACACTGGAACAGGTCGCACAGAGAGGTGGTGGAGGCCCCATCCCTGGAGACATTCAGTGTCAGGCTTGATGGGGCTCTGAGCAACCTGATCCAGTTAAAGCTGTCCCTGCTTGCTCCAGGGGGGTTGGGCTAGGTGACCTTTAAAGGTTCCTTCCGACCCAACACATTCTATGATTTTATGATTTGAAAAACTGAGATGGTTTTGCCTTTGATAGTGCAAGAAAGAATGACTGTAACTGCCAGTAAAATATGAACTCATCTACTCTGTAAATTGATCTGACTCCCAGCAGTGCAAGCTTATTCCTTGCAAAGTACACCCCCTGCTGCTTTTCTCCAGTCTTACTTAAAATTATTCAAGTAACATGGTTTCCTCGTAACACAAAGCAGTTAAAAATTCATTTTCTTTCTTTTTTATTTAATTTGTTTTTGTTACAAGGCGATGGGTACTACATGGCAGTTCCAGCTTTTGTGGGGCACAAGAAGGATATGGGGCGCCTGAAACTTCTCCTCACTGACCTCACACCAAAGAGCAGCTACTGCTTGATTTTCAGTTATCGGCTTGCTGGCGAGAGAGTGGGGAAACTTCGAGTGTTCCTGGCAAACAAAAAAACTGCTCCTGTCTGGGAGCAGAACAAAGGAAAAGATGAAAGGTGGAGAACCGGAAAAATAGAGATATTTCAGGGGGCTGGAACAACCAACAGTGTAAGTATAGCACATTTTAAAAGTCAACTTCCATAACCAACACAACAGCTTAATTTCCTGATCTCCAAGTGTCCCACCAGCTGTTTTATAGGGATCACTTACTGGCAATTGAAAGGCTTATCTGAAGTGGGAAACAAGAGCACACATTTTAGCAGGCAGAAAAGTTATTATCTGGTTGTAATTTCAGAACTGAATTACCCCAGTTAGTTAGGAAACTGATGCCAGTAATCCTGTCATGTTGTAAAAAACTGCATCGGATCATAAATTAACACAAACAATAAAAATCTTTGTTTGATATCCCTTGCAATATAAGCATATATATATATTCCTTGAAAAAAAATTAAAATTATCTCTGTTTCATAGGAGAGGATGCTTTAAACCACACTAAACCAGATAATTAGTGCAAAAGGAGACATCACGTATAATCAAGGGCGGGCAGTCACCCTAGGAGCAGGACATACTAGTCAACAGGGAATGCTGTGCATGGCAAACTGACTTGGTCAGGGCTTCAGCAAGACTCTCCTTGAAATACTAGGGCCTGGTTTTCATTTATGGGACTGAACATTTTAACAGTTCTGTGTAAAGGCTTCTGCTCTAGAACTGAGTGATGAATGATTTGAGTATAAATGAAATGCAAGCTCTTTACAAGGTTCTTTGCACTGCTGGAATGATGTAGAAAAGCCCTTACATACGTGAGAATCAGACTATAAAATAAAGCCCAGGCATCCTATTCATAAAAACGAACCTACTCTCTCTATACAGTACACATACTATACTACATATATAAATGCCAATACATAAATATATATAGTATATACACCCAAAACTTAAGGATCCAAATAGATCATAAATGAATAACTGTAATGTCTTCAAGAAATGAAGTGCACTAACATCACATACTGTGATAAAACTACATTATTATAATGGGATTTTGCTCAATTTGCATTTTTTTTGTACAATAAGAACAAGTAATCTTATTAAAGGAGTCCATTTGATATTGTAAATCTGTGCAGAGGATTATAAGTCTAATTCAAATAATACATGGAAATTCTAAAAACTGCAAGGATTTATTTAAGTCATTAAGTCTTGTATTGTGATGAAACATTTCTCAGATATAGCATTAAGACTTGCTAAATGGTTGAATAAACTACATTTTCACGGTTAATTTCTTCTGTTACGACAGGTCACTTTTGAATCAGAACGTGGGAAGGGCAAAACTGGAGAAATTGGAGTGGACAATGTTATACTCATTTCTGGCCTATGCCCTGAAGATGCCTGACAATGGATATTTGAGTATACTGGACTTAATCCTGTTTTTAATATTTGCCTTACTAGTAGTGTATTTTTGTATTGTTTTCTTTATAAAAACACCAAAACCATGAAAACTGTGCCTTGAACTTAGTGCAGCAATCCAAAAGGAAAAATTGAGAAGTGCAGGATGCAGAGTACCCTTTTTTATGAGTTATTGTAATTCTAATACATGCTTTGAGTGTAGCACTACTGTACTTTATAATTCAGGGTCAGGGTTTCTAAAGTATTACCTGTCTAGCTTTTTTACAAATTCTCCATGCTTTCATTGCTTCAAGTTTCTTTCAAGGCTGTTCTTAAGTCTTCTATTTAATTTCTTTTGCTCCACAAGAACATAAGGCAGTATCTAAGAGGCAGTTACTGCTTGTGGTGATATAATTTTAACTTCTTCCTTAGTGTCTAGCTATTCAATCTATTTGACAAAGGAACTTTATTTCCTTCTTGATGGAGCTAAGCAAGTTATAAGTGCAGTCATGCCTTTGAGGACTATTTTCATTACTAATAAAATATGTAAAATACCTTGTTTGTCATCAGTGTCTTTAAGTCACACAAATCACTATTTAGAAATGATCCCATATATATATCTATAATGTACATCGTTAACAGATTGTTATTAAGAACTAGCACTGAAAAAAAAAAAGAATGAATGATGCAATATTAGCACTCAAGAAACTTCACATTAGGTACTGACTTTCAGGAGCAGATTGGTTCCTGCTGGATGGCAGGCCTACTTTACCCCACAGAGGGGTGAAAGAATGGTTTCCATTTTCCAGTGTACATTTTACAGTGCCCATGACAGGGAAGTTGGATTAAATGATCTCTAAGATCCCTTCCAGCCTACAGTTACATAAGAGGAAAAAGAGAAATGAGAGAGAATTTGGGGCCTCTCCGGAAGGATACAAGTGACCTGGTTACAGAGGACGTGGAGAAATCTGAAATACTCAACAACTTCTTTGCCACATTCTTCACTGGCAACCACTTGAATCATACCACTCAAATCACAGAGGGTGTTGGCTGGGCCTGGGAGAGTGAAGAACCACCCAGGGTAGAAGCAGAACAGGTCCGGGAACACCTAGAGAACCTGAAGGTGCACAAGTCCATGGGACCTGATGAGATACATCCACGGGTCCTGAAGGAACTGGCGGCTGAAGTTACTGGGCCACTGGCCATCGTATTTGAGAGGTCCTGGCAGTCCGGTGAGGTTCCCTCAGATTGGAAAAGGGCGAATATAACCCCCATCTTTA